TTTTACTCTGTGCTAACTGTTTTCTGATTGGCTGGCAGTTCTCAAGGTCACTAAGGATTCTTTCAAAGGTCGTCCAAAAATTATTGTCTTGCCAATAGTTAATCAAAAAAATGAAAGAATTGAATACTGATTAGTAAAAATGAAAATACCCCGCTTATGATTCGTTGACTCTCTATTCTCATATTTCAGTAATGATTGGGATTAATCCACGTGATCCTAAGTAGCGTTTGGCTACAGAATCCAAGTCAAGTATTTTATATTTTAATAGTTGAGATCATGAGTCAATCGAAGTTAGACCAGCATGGAAAACCTGGAAGCACTGGACGGCCATATCGTCCTATTGTGGGGGTCCTCAACAGTGCACATACACGATCCCGCACCTCGAGATTCAAACCTAAGACCTATCGGTCTACTGAGGAGTCTCACAATAGGACGAAACAGCCGTCCAGTGTTTCCGGGTTTTCCATGGTAGTGTAGCTTCAACTGACCCATAATCTGAACTATTAAATTACTATAACATCCGCAAAATTCTTTTCCTGATATTTTATCTTTGTTAGAACATATTAGAATGGTGTGTCTACGTCACACTACTGATACCTCCACTAGGATTAAAACATGACAGTCATCTTAACTTACAGATCACAGTTAACCATTACTTGATAAAACAAGACTTAATCATAGATATATGTAGGAACTTTATGTATTATGTATCATCGACGAACGAGGAAGATCTGATGCAGATGTAAAGGCAAGGATTCGCAAAGCAAGAGCCACATTCCTACAATCGAAGAACATATGCAACTCAAAACAACTTCCAACTAATATCAAAGTCACAATCTTCAATATGAACGTCAACACAGTCCCACTGTACGTAAATGAAACGTGGAGAACTACTAAAACCACCATCCTGAAGGTAGAAGTATTTATAAATAGTTATCTACACAAGATACTCAACATCGATTGGCCGGATACCATTAGCAACAGTCTGCCGTGGGAGAGGGCAAACCAGCTTCCAGATGAAGAGGAAATTAAGAAAAGACGATGGAAATGGATAGGACATACATTACGCAAATCACCAAACTGCATCATGAGGCAAGCCCTCACTTGTAATCGTGAAGGGAAGCATAAAAGTGGAATGCCAAATAACACATTACGTCGGTAAATAGAATCAGATATGAAGAGGATGAGTAACGACTGGAACTTACTGGAAAGGATTATTCAGGACAGGGTTGGATGGCGAATGCTGGTGAGCGGCATATGCTCCTCGACGAGGAGTAACAGGAATAAGTAAATAAGTATGTAAGTGAGTATGTATGTATGTATTAAGAAAGATTAACCAATTTAATTCAATAAAATCCATAAAAAGTAAATAATACATTGTAATAATACTTACTATCTACTAACTACTTTAATAAATCTTAATGATTTTGTTCAGGTTATTAAAAATTTGTTAGTAAAATATGATTTAATTAACTATTCATATGTAATAAACATTTTATATTACATAAATAGGAAATACATTTACAAACTCAAAGTTCATTGAAACATCATAATCTAAACTAGAGACTAGATTGAATAAGTGATTATGTGTATGATTTATTTTATTATCTATCTATCTATCTATCTATTTATATATATATATATATAATTGTATTAATATTAGATAAGTACAGTCTTTCACAAGTACAAAATATCTTAGTTATTTTATTTAAAAAGATCCACATCCCTTTTATACACCTTTTTTTCATATTTAGACTCCTATTCAATATGGCGTGATCTAGTTTTCATCTGTTTATTAATACTACAAAATTCTAATTATATACATACATATAGTGATTGTAGAATGTACCCGTATTTAAAAGCATAATTAAATTGATACAAAACCTGAAGAGTATGCTATGAAATACTAAATGATCTATTACCAAAACGAAATTTTTCTAAATGATTGTAATCAAGTAGAAGTCATTTACTGAGATTAGATGGTGGTTGGAGGGAGTCAACAGGAAAACCTGGACCCGGGTTTCGTGCTACTTGGCACTCGTCAGCAAGGTTTACCTGTAATCTTGAGGGAAATGGTGCTCCCTGGCGGATTCGAATTTAGGGATAAAACGTTTCTTTTCAATGAAATCATTTACTTAAGCTGTACATCCGTACTTATAATTATATAGAAAATATAAGTCTATAGAAGAACAGAAAAGATTGCATCATAAATTGATTAGAGATCCGTACTATCAAGTGAAGTTACGCAATAATCAGGTGGTAAGAGAAGAATATCTCAGGAAAGAGTTAGATAGAGAATCCTGGTGAGCGACTTAGGCTCCTCCATGAGGGTTAACAGACGTAAGTAAGTGAGAAAGAGAAGAATATAAGGATGAAAATAACGGACGGTGGCTCAATTTCGTTGATTGGTTGAAGTTCGACATTAACACCGTCGGATGCCAGTTGGCTCAGTGGTCTAGCGATTAAGTGCTCACGCGCGAGACCAGTAGGTCCTGGGTTCGAATCTCGTGAGGCAATGTCGTGGATGCGCACTGTTGAGGAGTCTCATACTAGGATGAAACGGTCATCCAGTGCTTCCAGGTTTTCCGTAGTAATCTAGCTTTTATTGACTGATGATTTCAACCAATGAAATTACCATAATATTCACAAAACACTCTTTTGAAAATAATTTACGGTTTAGAATTATGAAAGATAATTTTCCAATTGACACATATGAAGTAAAACGACAAACATAAAAGTCATAATAAAAACTGAATAATAACTGAGAAAATTTGATTGAAGGGCAATAGTAACTGACTAGAGTTTAAAATTACAAATCACGTATTTAAAAATCAATAATAATAAAAATAAAAAATGGGGAAGCAGGGCCAACGAAGGATGAGAGGTTGTACTTAAAGTTCGGGCTTGAGTTAATGGAGTGCTAACGTTCTAGCAGTGCACTGTTTGGGTAAATGATTTCTTTGAAAAGAAAAATTTTCTTACTGGATTCACTTTATTTTTATTCATAAATGATAATCCATTTTAAGGTTAGTTATTCAACCCTATGGTTATCTAGTTGTGTAAAGTTGATAAGCATCTTTCAAACCAGGTTTATCTTAAAAGCTTCCAAAATACCTGATAAAAATGTAAATTAAGTCCCAGTTTGGAATTTTCATGACGAGAATATTGGAGTAAATATGCGCTTTGCTTTGTCTATTCGATAATGGTTATATCTAACTTAAAAATTACTATCTAAACTTACCCAATATAAAAGTGAATATTGGGATTACCAATAAGATTAATTTCGAATTACTGAAATGTTATGCATTAGGGTATATAACGACTAACCCTTAATTTTACTGTTACAATCAACATGATAATGGCGTTGTTGCTTATTCTATTATCATGAAATTATCAATAAAAATTACTAAAAGAAATAGAGTAATTCATTTCCTCAGACAAACAGCATAAAACGGTACATTCTAGAAATAGGTTTAATTACTTTATATTGTGATATTATCATGATCATTTAGTGACTTTTATGTGTGATCTTCATATCCAGTATGATAGAATCATTAGCCATCTGTTTTATTCTTGTTTGAAACTTCATTCCAATGTGAACTTACAACAACTTACAAGATACAGTTGAAGAATGCATGTAATTATTTGACAACCAATGATGTAAAACTGTATTAAAGTTTGACAATGAACATTTTTACTATTACAAGTAGATAGAAACAATTACTAAACAAAAATAGCGCGCATTTGACGTCAGTAACCCAGAGAATAATATATTGATGTTTAAATCGAAAAATATTAGATTCAAGTCTTAGTGTGGAAATCAACTGTGAGATTCAATCATATTCAGCTGATCAGTTAAGAATAAAACATGTATTCTGAAGTCAAATACTAACCACAACCCATTTATTTATAAAACCTGAAACAATATTATGGTATCTAAGCAATCCGCCTACGATACACATGTGTCTAATCAGACCGATCAATTACAGTGTTTAAAATGTTATTAATGAATAACTGTAAATCCTTACAAATAAGGTAAAAGATCTACTTATGAGACTAATTCGAGTAGGAAAACTTGAACTGTAAAAATTATTGGATAAATTGTCTTGACAACAACAACAACAAAACAAAACAGCAAAGAAACTCAATACTTCAAAGAAAAAAAAGACTTTTGCATTTTGTTACGAAGTCGTTGATACAAGAACTTAAAAAGGTAATCAGTTATCGATTTTCAATTTAGAAAATCAAAATATTTAATAAATTAATTAGACTTACATTAATTGATATATAACTGAACATTGTGAATTACTTTCAAATGAATAGTTGTCTTTGAAATAAACTAGAAATTTACAAAATTAATCAAGACATATATACGTATATATGTATATATACATGAAGTTATATTCATTGCCTTTTAATGTACTTTATACAGTTCATTTCATGTAGTAATTTAATTGGAAGACAATTTACATGGAGATTTTTTTGTCTAACCTCAGAGAACAAAGCTCCGTCAAAATCATCCACTTGATCTACAAATCTTCTCCACTATCTCAAGACAATTTATATTGAGAGAAGAAGGAGAATAACAAGGAGAAGAAGAAGAGGAAGAAGAAAGAAAACAAACAAACATTTAAAGAAATTCAACTGATGAAATAGTCTCTCAGATATCGATATGTAACAATAAAATTATAGGATAAAACCATTTTGGATTTTATCCATAATTTCAGATATGAATAGAAAACAAAACAAAACATAACCGAACAAAAGGCACGTATAAGTAAAGGTAGAGAAAAATAAACAAACAAACAAACGAGAAAATGAAGAAGTTAACAAATAAAAAAGGGTAACTTTTAAGTTGTTGTATCACAATTAAACAGATTACCTTTATGTATGAACAAAAACAGATATGTAGGTACAATGAAAGACTTCATTATCTTATTAGATAATACGAAAAAGGAGAATAAGTAAATAAGTAGTATGTCATAAATACACAAAAAATTCTATAATTTTGATGCTAAACATCGACTATTTAATATAGCTAATATAACAACTTGTGAAGCTGTTACACTACCAATTAATGATAAAGTATATGACCAATATGGTAATTTCCAATATGTATATAATAAATTACCTGTTAATACAGCACTAGCTGAAACAAATAAAATCATTAATTTAATTGTTGTACATACTGGCCCAGGTATCCATTTACTATTACAAGCACCAAATAAATCACAAAGGAATATTAATCCTAAACCACCTACACCTGCAGATAATAATATAAGAACAATAATAATCGGTATAGTTTTAAAACATTGAGTATATAAATTTCCACATGGCCAATCCGCAGTAGCTAATGCATAACCTAATAAACCAATTGATAAAGCAAGTAATGGAAAATGTAAATGATTTGGATTGAATAATCTTCCAGGCATTATTATAAATTGATAATTTATATGTATATAATCACTATGGTATTACTATTGACTGATAGGATAATAATAATAATAATAATAATCCGACAGAATATTATAGTTATTTTGTGTGTTGGCAAATAGTAAAATGTTTAGTAAATCTGATTTATCATTCATCACATTAATATTTCATCTTTTAAGTATATATATATAAATCGTAACTATAGATGATTTATTAAGCTTTGATTGGTGAGATACCTTTCTTCTTCTTCTTAATAATAATAATGATAACCTATTCAAACATCTTGTATACAATGTGAGTATATGTATGTTGCTGTGTATCAATGAGTTACTCAATAAGTAACATACGTGTTTTTCAACATATATATCTATATCGGTGTTTAAATGTTTACTTGTCTATGGGTATATATCTCTATGTATGAATGTACAGTTTAATGATATCCATTTAAATGAACATGATTTAACATACAAGATAGTATATAAAAGAATAAATACAATGATCTGATCATTATGATCTATAATAAAAAAAATGCTGGTTTTTATAAAATTCCTTTATTATACATATACTGTTTTTAAGTCAAGGTAATAATATAGAAAGGTCAGACTATATTTGAAAGTTATAGTTTTGTATTTAGTTTGTATAATATGGTGGTGATCGATACCGTGTTTGTGAGAGAGTGAGAGAGAGAGAGGAAGAGTAAACTAAACACTAAGATATAAAATAGTTATTTCAGTGAAATCATATAATATCTTCTGTGATTTGAATCATTAATCTTTAGAGAAATGACAATTTATCATATTTGTTCTATTATGCGTTTTAAGATTTGCATTAAGTATAAAGCATCAGTATTATTAAGTAGCAGCCTAAGTTGAACACCTATTGAAATAAAATAGAAGTCCAATGTCTGACAATTAGTCAAGTCATTGATGTTCACTGTAGCTTCTAGTTTCAATGGATATCTATTCATGATATCAATAACATTCACTAATCGCCACTAAACATCTATACTGATAAATATGTAGTTATCAAAAATAATAGAATGAATTACTGAAATTTTAATGACAATGATTGTCATTTCAATCTAAATGAATTTAAATTTTCTTGAGTTATGTTACAATCACATTAGTGCTTACAAATTATGTTTCTATTATTGCTTACTTACTTACGCCTGTTACTCCTCGTGGAAGATCATAGGCCATCCACCAGCATTCTCCATCCAACTCTGTCCTAAGCAATCCTTCCTAGTTGTTTCCAGTTGTTATTTATCCTTTTCATATCTGCTTCCAAATCTTGATACAATGTGTTCTTCATCTTTTCTCTTCAAGATTCTGAGTTAGAACATTCCTTGAGATGCAGTTTGTTGATTTCCGTAATGTATGTCCTATCTACTTTTAGCGTCTTTTCCTAGTTTCTTCATTGGATGGACGCTGATTTATTCTCTCTTACAGGTGTTGATGGTATCCAATCAACGGACATTGAGTATCTTGTGTACTAATTTTTTATTTATAGTGAGGGGAATTTTCAAGAAAAAGTATTACATAATTCAGTAAAGTTTTTCGTAAAAGGCATTCGAAGTTTTGGAGATTAACTGCCATTTATCTTTGATAGATATGGATGAATAAGTGAAAGGCATGAAACTCTGATAACTACTGATCGACGGTGAATTATTACACAGATATTTGTGTATCGATTAAATATTTGGTTTTAAAAATTATTATATTACATTACTTCATTCAAATCATCTTTTATAAAGCACAATTAATTATTCATATTCCAGTTACTGGGGTTTGTAACACAAATAACTTAGTCATGTATCGATTGTAATTACTCTTTTTATAGTATGTTGCGGTCTTCTAATTGAAGCATATTACCATGTATGTTCTGAGTTATAAAATACACAGAGTAAATATCTGGCCATTCTCGTGCTCCGACTGGACAAACTAAAGCGAGGGGCAGAAAGCGATTTCCTGAGCCAATCAGTTTCAGAATACTTAATGAACATATCGGTTGAGCGTTATTAGCATTACTAACGTAAAGCGGACTCATTCTTAGTGAACGTACTAATTAAGTGGGGATATAGAAGTGAAGTTATGCTAGTCGTCAACTTTAAAAGTTTTCAAGTATATTATTTATAATACTCCTAACATCTATTATTTTCACTGTAACTGGTTGTGTTTAACTAAAAGATAAAAAAGTAGGAAAACTTACCAACTAATACGACTAATTAGTGCCTTCTTTATTGTTTGACTGGACCAAAATGCATTCATTATGAAAACTCTAAAATTCATTCTTTGTAATAGATAGATGATTAAATTAAATATTAGTCTGCTAAAATTTTAATAGAGAAAAATTGTTGGGACAGTGATTATTGGTTGGGATTTGTAATACCCTCTTGTTGATATTAAGTACTACAAATGATCAATCTCTATTACCAGATGCCTATCCTGAGCGAGTAGCCTCAATACAATATTTTGTTGCAAGGTTTTGCATTTTCAAATGTATGAGAAGTGTGAGTTGTGGATTCCGCTACTAACTGAAACCCAAATAAACTATCAATAATTGTTGCTTAAAAATATTTTAACCTCTTATTTTAATAGTTGAATTCATGAGCTGATATAAGCTAGACTACCATTAAAAACCTGGAAGCACTAAACGGCCGCGTCGTCCTAGTATGAGACTCCTCAGCAATGCGCACCCACAATCCCACACGTGAGACTCGAACCCAGGACCTTCAGTCTCCCACGCGAACGCTTACCCAGTAGACCACTGACCTGGCAACCAACGATGTTAATGTCTAACTACCATCGATCTACAATCTTGCACAACCAATCATCTATTGTCTGAGGTAGATACCTATCTCTATGCGATATCTGATACAATTTATACCATGAGGGTTAAGATAAACAAAATATTTATGACAACTGAATCGGTGGCCTACTTGAATATCTGGGCTACTTGTTCCTGACATCTAGATATTTCATCTGTCTTTTGTCTATTTCAACAGATGATTATGTCCCTTGTTCTAAGACTTTTTGGAACATGTTCAAAAAATCTAAGATATGCTCTCCTTTCAGTTCGGCCGATGTAGCTGCTTTGGTAGCAAATTATTTATAATTAGTTAAATTCTAACTGAATACTTCAGTGGTTACTGATTCAAATCTCATTTGTTTTCAAGGGTTTGAGAAGTTTATAGTTAACAATCTATGAATTATCTCAAGAATTTTAATAACATCAAGATATTTATCAAACGTAATACTTACAAATTCACTAAGAAAGAATAAGTTGTTAGTATAAGAAAATAATAATTTTATTGTATTAGTTAGATCTATAATAATGTTTCCAATGTAGCGCACATAATTAACTGTATTCTAATCAGTGATATAAAAAATGAGGCAAACTTTGAAAATAAAGTCCAATTATGTTTAGAAATTTACACTTAACAACATTGTTAGTAACTATCCACCTACAATATATTGACATTTTGAGCTTTTTTTTACTAACTAGCCGCCATTACACCAAATCTTCTGTTAACTTTTGCTAGTTGCTCATCGTCTCAAAGGGAATCGCCATAAGTTTGTAGTGAGCAGGTGATTATTATCAGAATGGGTTTTGTGGAGATTTTTAGATGCGCACTGCTGAGGAGTCCCATACCAGGACGAAACGGCCATTCAGTGCTTCCAGGTTTTCCATGGTGATCTAGCTTCAATTGATTCATGATTCCAACCAGTGAAATTTCTAAAAATCTTCAAAAAATCCATTCTGATAAAAATATAGCATTCGTTGATAAGTAAACTGAATAGAGAAAAGAAGTAATGTTGAACAGAAAGCACAAAGAATTAACAATGTAATTTTCCCCTTTTATCTTGTCATATTGTAATGTGTGCTTCTGATGTCGACAGATATAAATAATATGTATCACCAATCGAAAATGAAATACCTGGCAGAAGATGGAAGAGAAGAGAACGAGAACAGAGAGGGATTTGTGTGGAAACGAAAGAACAATGAAGTCTGAGACAATTATTCGACATTTTGCAAATGAAGTATTTATTGTATGGTTCTCAGATTTTACTAAGACATTCTGTAATTCTATATTCTAACACATTTGATTGTCTCTATTGATAGTCTCATCTACAACAATATCATTCACTTACAGTTCAGAACGATACATAGTTTTGCAATTAGGTTTTATTATCAAGAAAAGCAAAGGTATTGCTCTGAAAAATGAAAACAACTGATTGATTTTTCTAATTATCAAATCGTATTATTTAAGAGAAATGAAAATATACTATCACTATCATTTAACAGTTGATCAATCCAGAATTGTATACATTTAAATTTATTTATGAGGGAAATGTAAATTTAATATGACAGTTTGGAATGGAAGGATCAAGTAATTTAGAAGTTTCTTTTCTTTTTTTAGTTAAATAATTTGCACTTCTTACTAGCTGTTAAGTTCGTTACTGGGTTAACACAGGACATGGTATACAATTACGGCAGTCGAGCGTATAGAACCCCCACAGTGGCAAATCAAAAGACGGAAGAAGACTGGAGAAATGCTTGTTGGATAAGAAACAAAATGTACCGAAAGTCATGGGCATTCATAGATATTAGCGTTCGTTATACCTAATTACGCCTGTTACTCCTCTTGAAGGATCATAGGCCGCTCACCAGCATTCTCCATCCAACCCTGTCCTGGACAATCCTTTCCAGCTTTTTCCATTTGTTATTCATCTTTTTCATATCTGATTCTATTTACCGACGTAATGTGTTCTTTGGCACTCCACTTTTCCATTTTCCCTCACGATTCCAAGTTAGGGCTTGCTTCGTGATGCACTTTGATGATTTCCGTAATGTATATCCTATCCATTTCCATCGTCTTTTCCTAATTTTTTCTTCAGATGTAAGCTGGTTTGTTTTCTCCCAGAGAAGGCTGTTGCTGATGGTATCTGGTGAATGGATGTTGAGTATAATGCGTAGACAACTCGCTAAAAAAACTCTA